CCCCCCCCAATTTCTGCATGGACAGGAGGGCCCGGGACTGCAGCCTGGCTGGATTGGCATCAGGCAGGAGACACCTCCACAGCCAAGCAGGAAGCACCTGGCACAGGAGGGTGGAGTGGGCTGGGGAAGTTTAGTGGTGCTGCTGCTCTCAGGATCCCTGTGCCAGCCATGCTGCCAAGGTGAGGTGCCCCCTGCCCACCCAGAAACATCAGGGGGGACACAACTCCATAGTGCTTCCCCTCCTGCTGCTGCCGGGTGGGCAGGGGGTGCCTCACTATGGCAGCACAGCTGGTGTGGGCTCCCAGTAGCAGTGGTGGTAGCAGCACTGAGTCTCCCTGCCGTGCTCCACCCTCCCACACTGGCAGCCCTCATCCTCCCTTCACCCCCTCCATGGGCTCCACTCAGCTCTGCTCCAGCTCTGCTGTCCATGGGTGGGGGGAGGGGCCAAGCTCCACACTTCTCCTTGAACTCTGGCATAGCAGCCAGGGATTGGGTGCTGCTGGCCATCTGTGGCTGGCACCCATGGAGCAGGGAGTAGGCAAGATGCAGCCGCCGGGTCCCATAGCTGTGGCAGGTGGGACCCCCCTCTGGCAGAGCTGGGATGGGTACAGGGGGCTGCAGGTCAGGAGTGAGTGGCACCAGCAGGACACAGCGCTGTGGGTAGGGAGTGAGGGGCACCAGCAGGGCTGGAGGATGCAGGTCAGGAGTGAGGGGCCTCGATTGGAACAGGGGGGATATGGGTCAGGAGTGAAGAGCACCATGAGGGCTGCTGGGGCTATAGCTTGGGAGTGAGGGGCACCAGCACATCAGGGTTGCTCAGCACCACAAAGAAACAGAGGGGGCAGCCTCTGGATCAGCATAGCAGTAGCCCAGACTACTACTTGTGTGATGGTGGTGATGTGCTGCACCCCGAAGATCCCCTCTGCCCCGCAGCTGGAGCCTCCCTCTCTGAGGCCTCTATCCAGATGGAGCCCATGGCTCCAGTCTCCACTCAGATGGAGTGGGGAATGCCTAGCATGAATGCAGGCATCTGGGATTGGGAGCAAGGACACCCCGCCTTGTGGGGTATGCTCCACATTAGAGTCCCTGCAGTGCCAGGTAGGGGAGCTCCAGGCTGTGGCGCAGAGGCTGCATGGCATCAGGGATGACAAAGAGGAAATTGATGCCTGCCACCAGGCTCTTCACCTGAAGAATGAGGAGGGAAGAGCAAGTAAGGCTAGCAGGACAAGGGTGTACAAGAGGAGCACCTGTGAAGTCCAGCCAGGGGTTGCTTGGACAAAGGTAGTCTCCGGCCCCAAGGCACCCTGCACCAGGGTCACCACCCCTCTGGAACTTCACAACAGATGCAAACCCCTCACAGGAACATCAGCAGAACCAGCATAGTTGCCGGCTCCAGCACTTGAGGAAGGAATGCAACCAGTAACCATACCTAAGGAGAGGTGCAGAGTGGTTGTTGTGGGAGAATCCCTCTTGAGGGGGACAGAGCATGTAATCTGCTGCCCCTACCCCTTAGCCTGTGAGGTCTGCTGCCTTCCACGGGCCCATATCCAGGATGTAGCTGAGAGGATTCCAAAACTTATCTGACTCTCCAACCACTACCCCATGCTCCTCATCTGTGGGGGCACCTTGAAAGGCTCAGAGAAATTCCGGGCTGGTCATGAGTGATTACAGGTCTCTGGGGGCTGGGTTTAGAGGGGTGGGGACACAGGTGGCTTTTTCCTCGATCCTCCCAGTTATGGGCCACGGGCACAGGAGTAAGAGTTGTACTGAAGAGGCAAACAGAAGACTGAGGCATTGGTGCCAGTGTGAAGGTTTTGGCTTCTTCAATCAGTCCGCACTTCAGGGAGAGAGGCAGTGGTCTGCAGGGAAGATGGCTTCCACCTCACCCCAACAGGAAAGAAGATCTTTTCAACCAAATTGGCTGACCTGCTTGACAGAGCTTTAAACTAAGATCCCCGGGGCATTGGTGGACAACCATCAGAACAAGTCCAGGAAGAGACAAGGACATAACCAGTAGGTCGGGAAATTCAGTTGAACTTACTCCTACCCCAAACCATGGA